CGCAGGTAAGCGGGGCGGCGGGCGCCCGGCACTCTCACAAAGGTCCGCGGCGGAGCACGTGTTTCGGGCCCGAGCGGGCGGGGGGCCCCACAGCGCGTCCCGACCCCTAGCCGGCCGCGCGGGCTCGATCCCTGGGTCAGGGCGGGGACGGCACGAGGCTGGGGCGGGAGGACGGAGGACCCCGCCTCGCGACTGGGGAAATGGCGTCTGGCGGCGAGATAATGGCGGCCGGGGCGGGAGCACGCGGGCGGGGCCGGCCCGGCTGCCTGGCTTAACCCTGACGTGCCGCTCGTCCCGCCTGCAGCCCTAGGCGGCGTCGCCGCAGCCGCTCCCGGAGCCGGAGCCGTGCCCGGTCCCGCAGCCGGTCTCGCTACAGCCGCTCCAAGTCTCGATCCCGCACCCGCTCCCGGTCTCGATCGACCTCCAAGTCCAGATCTGCGCGAAGATCCAAATCCAAGTCGTCGTCGGTCTCCAGATCTCGCTCGCGGTCCAGGTCCCGGTCTAGATCCAGGAGTCCTCCCCCCGTGTCCAAGAGGGAATCCAAGTCCAGGTCGCGGTCCAAGAGTCCCCCGAAGTCTCCAGAAGAGGAAGGAGCGGTGTCCTCTTAAGAAAATGGTAATGTCCATGGGGATCCGAGACGCACAATCCTGACTCATAAATGGGGTTTGGAGTAGGTTTTTGAGCCATGTTAATGTAAAAGTGACTCCTAACGTTAAAGAGTGCTGCTCTGAGGTTTCTCAGCTTTGGGAGTAATACTGAGAGGGGTCTGCAGAAAGGATGTGTGTAAAACTTAGATAATAATCGCTGTTACGTAAACTGTTTGAGACCTATTAATGAAAATGACTATTTCTTGCTGTTTTTATCCAACGTCTGCATTTTCCCCTTTAAAGCTGCGGTCTCCTGTTTGATAAAAGAATATTGGCCAGTATTGCAGATTTTAACTGATTTGGCTGATCCTCCAGGGACCAGTTTCTGTGGGCGTGTATTGGAGCAGGTTTGTCTTTAAATGTTAAAGATGCACTATCCTCTTAGAGAAAAGCAATCAGCTCAACTATTGTTGTGCTGACTGGGACTTCATTTTCTAATGGATGTGGCAAACGAATTGCAATAAGAAGCTATGAACTTTTGGAACCCCAAAAGAAAGTTTACAGGTATCGCTTTGGGTGGGGAAAGGATAGTGTGTCTTTAACTCTCAAATTGTTTGGTCCTATTTTTTAAAAGGAAAGGGCCCTAAGTAGCTCAGATATTAAAGCACTAGTTATTCTTGATTGTCAAATGTTTTATTTGAAAACAATTTATCTTAAAATATAAACTGATTACCTGATTTCAAGTTTTTGTTTGGATACAGCCCTCTTTATTTTTACTTTTCTTCCCCCTCCCCTTCCCCTCCCCTTGTTTTTCCTTGGGTATTTGGCCAAGAATACAAAAATTCAAGTTTACAAATACTGATGTAGCCCTTGAACATTTCCTATTTGGGCCTTTAAAAAAAACCGATAATGGCTGGGTGGAACCTTATTGTAACCTATTCGTTTCACCAGAGCCTTAGTAAGTACATGCCCGAAACTGAAACCATGTGCCCTTATGTACTTTGTCAGCGATGTAAGGTAAGCTGAATGTATTTCTTTTCACACCTAGATGTGTCGGCAAGCAACTTAATGGAGGACTTAGAGGAAAAGGACCACATACTGAGTCCATGGAAGAGTTCTTGGAACAAGCAACTGGCTATTGAAAAGGTTATTTTGTAACATTTGTCTAACTTTTTACTTGTTTTAAGCTTTGCCTCAGGTGGCAAGCTTCATTTTATGTGCCATTTTGTTGCTGTTATTCAAATTTCTTGTAATTTAGTGAGGTGAACGACTTCAGATTTCATTATTGGATTGGATATTTGAGGTAAAATTTCGTTTTTGTTTATATAGTGCTGACTTTTTTTGTTTGAAATTAAACAGATTGGTAACCTAATTTGTGGCCTCCTGACTTTTAAGGAAACATGTGCAGCCATTACACAGCCTAAAGCTGTCAAGAGATTGACTCAACATTGCCTTCATTCCTTTAAAATTAAAAACCTACAAAAGTTGGTGTAAAATTTGTTTGTATATGTTATTTGTCTTCAGGTCTAAGTGGTAATCTGAACCCAAATTTGTATAAAGACTTTTCAGGTGAAAAGACTTGATTTTTTTTTTGAAAGGATTGTTTACCAAACACAATTCTAATCTCTTCTCTTATGTATTTTTGTGCACTAGGCGCAGTTGTGTAGCAGTTGAGTAATGCTGGTTAGCTGTTAAGGTGGCGTGTTGCAGTGCAGAGTGCTTGGCTGTTTCCTGTTTTCTCCTGATTGCTCCTGTGTAAAGATGCCTTGTCGTGCAGAAACAAATGGCTGTCCAGTTTATTAAAATGCCTGACAACTGCACTTCCAGTCACCCGGGCCTTGCATATAAATAACGGAGCATACAGTGAGCACATCTAGCTGATGATAAATACTCCTTTTCCCCTTCCCCTCCCCCCTCAAAATGGTAAACTTCATCTTCATGTATAAATTTGAAATGTGGAAATTTTATGTTAAGGAAGCAAATGGTTTGTAACTTTGTAAGTACTTATAACATGGTGTAACTTTTTGCTTATGAATATTCTGTACTATAACCATTGTTTCTGTAGTTTAATTAAAACATTTTCTTGGTGTTAGCTTTTCTCAGAATATGTCTTGGTCTTTTTTCCCTGTTTGAAAGACATGCAATCATCCTGAATATTGACTGTAATAGTACTAAAGCAAAATGTTTAAGTACTGACTTGTTCTATGTTAAAAAGTGGGAATGCCAGTGAGTACCCAGTACTTTCAAAGGTAGCATTTTCTTTCAGTTGTATCTTTTGGTTGGCCCAATTTGTGCCCTATTTACAAAGAATGATCAAACTTTTTCTTAATAGGTATTTAATTTTTGTTTTCTTGGTTATGTTGCCTGGGAGTGTAATCTAGGCAACCCTCTGTAATCTTAAGGCCAGCAGATGTGACCATCTTTAAACCCCAGCTGCATTTTCTCAAGCTGAAGTGGCTTTTAACGTGCCAGGTTGCTAATTAATATTGACATTGTCCTAGAAAAGCTTGTTGGGGTATATAACTCAGAGACTCTCCTTTGCAAAGGAGATGACCAGCATTTCAACAGTATGTCTTCCAGGAAGGGCAGATTCTGCTATATCTTCTTTGTCTGCATCAAAAGACACCAGAGGAATATGGACACATTTCATATCCCACTTGTAGAGCAAAGCTTCAAGTGACCAGTCAGCACTGAAAAAAAGGGAAATAAATATTTTTTAAATCATGTTTTTTGTTTTGCTTCAGATAAAACGTATTTTCTCTTTTATGCTTTAAATATTAATAGTAAAGTTTAGGTTGTCTCTAAAACTGAGTATACTAGAACTGTTCATACTTACTTTCTAACTTGGTAAGTAGACCACAACTGGACCTTTGGATTCTTTTGCATCAGAAAGTATACTGTAGTTAAAATGTCTTCGAAGTCTGGGGAGAAAAGATCTTAATTAGTATTTCCTGTAACGCATCTGGACCTAATTTAAACGTTGAGCAGAAAAGGCTTACCTTCTGGTTCAAAGAACACATCAGATGCAAGAATAATATCTTGTGGTGGTAGAGCCAGAAGATCCTTGGATATGTGACCCCATGTTAGTCCTACAACAGGTACCTCTGGCAGGTGGTTCATCTGGCAACTCTGCCGACAGATTTCTAAGCAGTGAGGCAGCTCAGGGCTATCTGACAATATTACTTTGGCACCACATTTTGCAGCCAGAATTCCTGGAAGGCTCACTCCAGCTCCAATCTGGTAACAAAAGTTTGGATTCAGAATGATACTTGAAACTGCAAATAATTAGGGATCTTTCATTGTTTATCCTTGTTTAACAAGGAGTAGAGACAGTCTTTGTGCATTTATTTTTATCATTAGGCAAGTTGAAAGGACAAGTCTTAACGCTGAACCAGGTGATTTGCATGCACAGATAGCTGTTCAGGTGCCACTGGCTGCTTTTCTATAGCTAAGACTTGAAAGGTCTGTGGTATGGCTTCTAGTAAAGGCTTCCAGCTGGGCCTTGAATGTGGTATCTTACAAATTGTGCCAAAGAATATATTCACAAATACTGACATTGAAGTACAAGTTTCCTATTTATCAGTTTGCAAGTGAACATTGAATGCCTAATTAGGACTCTGAGGCAGAAGTGTCCAATTTTTTTCCCCCCTAATTTTTGCTACAGGGCACCATATGCTCACCAGATAATCCAAGAAATCACCTTCAGGGGGAGGCCATGCCAAAATCCCTTCACTTTAAGGATTTTGGACACGGGCACCTACACTGGCACTAGTTTCAATCTACCAGATCCAGGACAAAAACCACAGCCATGTGGGAGTTCAACAATATAACCATTATGCCATCTGCTAGTACCATGCCAAATTCTTTAATTTTACATAGTATTGCAATAGTTGGAGGAAGCTAATGAGTATAATTTTGAGCCTAAAGCATAGTGCTAAGTACCATTTTTATAAACTTAGTAAAAATTTTTTCAGGCCTTGAGCAGAATAAGGGCTGTTTTATGGTCTGAATGTTTTGTGTTCCTCTTAAATCAAACATTAAAGTCAATGTGAATGGGGCCATTGGGATGAGATTAGATCCTAAAGGCAAAACCTCAAAAACCAGATCACTAACTTTACATAGGTTGGGAACTGGGATGTAGGCTGTTGCTGTCAGTCTGCCAGCACCTTGATTTTCCTAGCCTCTAAAACAAAGATTGTTTATAACCTACCTGGATATATGAAATGGACTGCGAATATGGTAGAGCCTAGATGACCCTATTGGGACACCTAAAAAAATGGGTACCGTCAGAAATAAAGGGCCAGTAAGATGGTAAGTATTACAGTTTTGTGGACAACCTGTGGGCTCCATAACATTAAAAATGAAGGATGGGGACACCAGCAGGTGGTGTAATGGTTACATCACTGAACTCTCACGTAGTCCACAGCAGTTCTAAGTCCAGACCCAGTGGCTTAAAACTCAGGCCAGACACATTTGCACCCAAAATCCTAAGAGAAGGGACTCCTGGGGTGGGGGGGGTGATTTCTCAGCTTTCTGTCTCTGGTGAGTGCACAGGGACTGTAACAAAAATCTCAAAAAAAAAAAAAAAGTCAGCAGTGGTTGCACTGGACTGACTCCAGTGGGGGACTAACTCCCACATGGCCAACCAGTTCCAGACCTGGTAGCTTTCTCACTTTCTCAGTCTCTAGGCAAACTGAAAAATAATAAGAGTAAATAAAAATCAAATAATGTTTTTCTTTTTAAAGTGAAGGAGCCAGCAAGTAGCATGGTGGTTGGGGCACTGGATTCCTACCTGGCTGACAGTTTATGGTGTGGACTTGGCAGCTTGCTCCTTTCTGTGGTGAGTGCACGTGCCCTATGGCAGGGGGGGAGTTTTTGCTATAGGGCACACGCACTTGTCAGAAAGACAGAGACAGACACAGAAAGCGAGAAATCAACCCCCAGGAGGGATGGCCACTCTGCTGCAGTCCCTTCTCTCCCATTCTTGGGCATGCACACACATGCACCTACCATGAGTTTAAGCCACTGGGTCCGGGACTTGAACCTCAGTCAACTACATTGGAGTCCAGCAACAGCCATGTAGCCAACTGCTGGTCCCACCTGTGGCAAATTTTAATATTTTAAAAGTGAAAGCAATTTGAAAAAATGTTAAGAGACTTTGCAAACTGGCCAAATCACTTGAGTCTACATTTTTTTTAAGTTTACCAAAAGGGGGACCAGAAGTTAGTGTAATGGCTATGTCTCTGGACTCCCATGTAGTTGACCACGGTTCGAGTCCCAGATCCAGTGTTTTAAACTCACGCTGTATGTGTGTGCATGCATGCCCAAGGTTCGAGTCCCAGACCCGGTGATTTAAACTCATGCTGTGTGTGTGTGCATGTGTGCCAAAGATGGAGAAGGGTTTGCAGCATGGCCACCCCACTTGGCAGTGATTTCTTGTTGTCTGTCTCTGTCTTTCTAAAAAAAAAAAAAAAATTACCAAAGGGCAGTTGGTGTACTTGCTAGAGGAAGAAAGAAAATAAAGCAGGGGACCAGCAGGTGGCACGGTGGCTAAGGTGCTGGACACTCCCACATGGGCAACCATGGTTCAAGACCTGGAGATGGTAGCTTGCTTTCTCACTTTCCCCCTCTCTCTGTGTATGTGTCTCTCTCTGGTCAAATTAAAGTAAATGAATAAGTAAAATTAAATTTTAAAAAGATTAATCATTAAAGATGATAACTTAAAAAAAGAGAAAGCACCCACTAAGGGGAACGGCCACAGCAATCCTTTCTCCATTTCTCCCTACTTTCAGGATTTTGGGACACACACACACGTGTGCTTGGTCAATTTCTCACACCACTAGGTCTAAGATTTGAACTGTGTGATTGGCCATGTGGTAACCTGTCCCCTTAACTACCAGGTTAGTCCCCAATTCAGTATTTTTTTAAGTTTTTGTCATAGGGTATGTGCACTTGTCAGAGAGACAGAGGGCGAAGAAAAGAGCTCTGTCTGTTCAGTGAGCACATGTGCCCTATAGCAAAAACCTCTCAAAATAAAAGGAAAGTAAAATCACCCCCACTCGCCCACCTCTCGGGGATGGCCACTCGCAATCTCACCATTTCACTAAGTATTTGGGGGCATGCAGGCATGTGTCCAGTATGATCTTCAAGCTGCCAGGTTCCAGGCTCAAACCACAGTCGGGCATGAAGAAGTCCAGTATGTTCACCATGCCACCTGCTGCCTCCCCCATTCAATATTTAACCGAAGCATACACACTGACTCCGAACCCGATTTGAGAAACTTCAGGGGCACTGTACCTCTAACACAGCTTTGCCTGGCAGACATCTTCTGTGAAACCACAGGTACTGAGCCAGAACCACAGCACAGGGCCAGACGTACATTCCATATTGAAGATGTAGAACCTGAAAAGATTTTTAAAATTTTTTGTATACCATAAATAATCAGCTGGAAGTTGGTCTTCTCCAGGACACAATCAGGATAAAAAGCTGCAGTGCCTGGTAGTGTGGGCAGGGGGGCACTGTTGCATAACGTGGGATTTGCATGTACCTGGTCTTCAGGCACACCAGTGATCTGGCTGCCTGGAAGGCTGGGGGATGTGCAAGGAGGATTACATTATAGCAAGACCCTCTCTCATAAAAGTAAGAAAGAAATCAAAAAGCACACCACCACATGACAAGCACTCCACAGCGCTTTCATTCCACAAGCATTATCCAGTGCTCAAGTCTCAGGGACCATCCTTAGACTGGGGATGTAGATGGCTCCCATAGAACATCCACGAGACCTTCAAAAAGTTCATGGAAAACGCCCAAATGAAAAATCTATGTGGGTTACATTTTTGGTGCCAAAATTAACTCATAATTCCATTTTTCACAAACTTTCTAAGAATTATTTATTTTTAATTTGACAAGAGAGAGAGAGCGACCAAGAGAGAGAAAATGAGAAAGTAAGCCACCAGGTTCAGGACTGAAATCATAGTGTCCATGTGGGAGTTCAGCGCCCTTAAGCACCACGCCACCTGCTGGCCCCCATTTTTCACAAATTTTTGAAGTCCTCATCCTACTGGAGAGGGGCAACAGCAAGATAATTTTGTTTTAGTGATAAATGCTACACAGTAAAATGAAGATGTGAGAGCTTCAGGCAGGCAGCAATAGGGGTGACCACAAAGCAACTGCTCTAGATAGGGAGAGGAAGATTCAGGCACAAACCCTGAGGCAGAAACTGAAAGCCTTCAGTTCCTGGACCAGACAACCCTGGTGGGGTAAACATGGGAGCTACGGGAGGCATAGCTGCAGTGCAAGTAGAAGCCACAGGAAAGCCAGCATCTGACCTGCGGAGTGGAGTCTTGGCCACAGGAAGGTACCAGAGGGTTTTTAGTGAAAAAGTAACTTGATAGGCTAATGGAAGCAGTGTGGTCCTAGGAAGACAGGAGAGGGAGTGGAGCAGACTCCTGTTAGAAAGGCAGGAAGAATGCAAAGCCTTTGGAAAGACCACAATCATGAGCATGTTTAGGGAGGCAAGGGCACAGCTTTATGCTTCTGGGTGAGGCTGCCAGGGTCAAACTCTAGATCTGTCGTTCACAAGAGCTGTGTGATCTCACAATCACTTAACCTATCCGTGCTTCAGTTTCTTCAACTGCAAAATTCGGCTGTGCCAGACAAAATTAGAGTGCCAGACACTAAGCAAGAACTCTGCAAGTGAGTTGCGAACTTTAAGGTTTTTTGTCCTCTGGAGAAAAAAGTGTCCCTGGTGGGGTGGTGGAAAAGGCAGCTGCAGAAGTCCAAGTATCAAGGGTGAAGGAACAGGTGATCCAAATTTAATCATTCAGTTCACTCAAAAACAAAATCCTAGTGTCCAAAATAAGCTCGGCATTGCTGGAAGTGTAGAGGTACAGCATGACTAAACGCCAAAAACGCCTGAGCTGGCAAGGAGTTGTAACGCACAGCCATGAAGGATTCATTAATCGTTTGCAGTTTATTTTCTCCATGAGACAAAGAGAGAGAGAGAGAGGGAGGCGTCCCCAGCAGGGTCCCCACACCCTGACCCAGCCCCAACCCAGATAATCTGCACGAGTGCTCTCGCGCGGGGCGGCCCCCTGAGGAAACCAGGGCCCTCCCATGCCCTGCATCTGCACCACTGGCTGCCTCCCCAGTGAAGGACTTTGGGCCACACTATATGGTAGTACAGATTTGGGTGGAAAGAGGTCTCTCGGGAACCAGCAGTTAGCGTAATGGCTATGTCGCTGGACTCCCACTTAGTCGACCGCAGTTCAAGTCCCAGACCCGGTGGCTTAAAACTCACACCGGGCGCGTGTGCGTGCGTGCCCAAGATCCCGAGAGGAGAATGGAGAAGGGATTGCGGCGTGACTATCCCCCCTGGGGGGTGATTTCTCGCTTTCTGTCTCTATGTCTCTCTCTGTCTGTCTGGTGCGCCCTATAGCGAAAATCTCTCCCAAAAAAAAGAAACAGAAAGAGGTCTCTGCTCTCGCAGGGAATACCCTAAGTCCTCAATGGAAGCGGAAATCCACTAGAGTATCTGAATGTGAAGTCATTTGGAGACCGGCCTTTTCTCTCAATCTGTATTTCTTTTCTTTGCGCAGACACGTGCACGAGACAGACCGGGGATGGAGGGGGGCTGAAACATCCCCGGGCAAGGGTGAGGGTGCTTCCCGCCGCACGCACCTGCGGGACTTGGACCTCCAACACCGCCCCCTGCGCTCCTCGGCCCGGCTCCCCTGAGAATCGAAAGCGCTGGTCCCGGACCACATGCCCTCGGAGCCCAGGCCCGCCCAGGAGAGCGTCCGGCCGCGGACGGATAGGGGCCCGCGGGAGGCG